TATGATGTCTTTTAATCTGTCAAATTATTCTTCTGTTCTACTGCTCATTTTTGTAAACACAGCTCTGAGTATTCATAGAAGAATACAAGCCCTCACACTGTATTTGTCTCTTTCATGAAAGACACGGAGAGAACTAGCATGCCTGTAGTCAGAGGTTTTGCATACTTGAAAATCTAGAAAGAATTTAATATACAGTGTCCTGTATAAAGTATTGTGAAAAAAAAAAAACTATTAATGGCAGACCTCTGAAGTTATATTTTCATCTTGTATTTGAAACAGGTACTGTGAGGTTGATGGGGAATTAAAAGGAACCAGCAGGTCTTGTGCCATGCTGTGGAATTCAATCTGACTGTCCTGGTGATGTGCTTGTAGCAGAGCTCTTATGAGTGCAGCTGGGCAGGTTGCATGTAACAGAGACACAGACTGATGGACCAGATGCACTCAACTGGCTGTACACGTACTTTTCTTCTGATTCTGACACATAAAGCAGGAGGGCTAAAAAGCACTTTTGCCCTCTGGAGGAAGAGTAGTCAGCTCTATCTGACTGTTGCTTAAGGCCTCCAGTCCTTTCTATCTTATAGCTGAACCAAGCCACACTGGGGTGAGCTTGGCAACCTCAAGCCTGCTGGAGGAAATGGAAGTTAAGCTTCCAGTCTGCAGATGTCATGGTTTGAATTGAATAATTTTGACCCTGAAAGAGAATGGTTCTTAATGATCAGATCAATTAAATTGGCAAGGAAATCTTGATGACGAGCCCTTCCTCCAACAAAAACATTGTTCGTTTTACATATTTTACACATTATACGTAATTTACATTTTTCACATAATTTACAGAATTTGCATATTGAATGCTTGCTAGAACAAGCACTGGAATCAAAGACCTCTTCAGTGAGGCCACGAAATATTAACAATCAAGCTCAGTTGTAAAGCAGATCATATCAAAGCTTTATTGAGGTTCATTGTGACTTTACAAATTCTTCTACTTTTCCTATTGCCTGAAAATAAGAAAGCAAGGATTTTGACATCTCTAATAGCCACTGAATAGCTCAAGTCCAACACTGGCTTTGTGCTTTACCTCCATAAAATCTCCTGTGCTGTTGCTCTACAGTACAGCAGGATCAACAACACAGGTTGTTCACCTGCTCATACTCCCCCTCCTTCCATGTGTTTTGGTGATTTTGTCTGCATCATTCTGTTCTGATAGGTACTCCACATTTTGAGACACAGGCTTTATCCATAGCACTGTATGCCACAGAATATGGGATGAACCGGTGTTGGTGCAGATAGAGAAAGAATATTTTATTTTCATTTTAGTATAGCTGATGCACTCTCTCGAGGAACCTTCCAGCTGCTCAGTTCATGATGATTCACCCTGAGGAAGGATTCAGCTGCAACTTGAGTGCAGCTTCAAAATTGCGAGTTTTTTTGAGTTTTAAAACTGCACAGACTCCTTTAGGTTCAATTAATGGATACAGCCAGTCTTTGGTGGGAGCATTTCCTATTAAGTTTCCATTAACTATGATATTTTTATGCAAGGCATACACATTCTTCAAGACATACATTTTGGTAAAGCAAAGAAACAAACAAAAACCCGTAACAACCATGTCAATTTATGTTATTGCTCTATCACCTCTACAGCACTGACAAGCACATCAGTTTTTTTATGCCTTATCAGGAAATAAAAATCGACCCTCTCATAAAACTTAATCTCTCATAAAACTTCCTAGACATGAATCAGTGCAGGGCCTCCCCTGAAGTTTAGTCAGGGTGGCATAAATTATACATGGTGTTTGTCACCTAAATCTGCGGAGAGACAGAAATAACAGCTTTGGTAGAACACCGAGACAGCTACTCACTAAACAAAACCTGCCAATTATATTGTTTTATTCAACTTCCTTCTTTCATTCTGTTTTGTGACTCCCAAACCTATTAACTTCTTACCTTGAATATCATCACATTTTTACTACATTCGTGCAATGGTTTACTCTATAAAAGAAACAGTTTGCACTGTCCTAGTGTTTTCTGATGTATTTTCTGTATGACAGCTGTCCAAGCCATCAGAAAATATAAATGAGGTCTCCAGAAAGCACAGCTGCTTTGCCATCTGCACTGCACCTCAGACTTGAGGAATCCATCCAAGGGAAAATTTTCTTGAGGCAATATCCAAGTCACTTAAATTTCAAACACTGAATCATTGAAGCCTGAAGAGGGACTGCCTGCCTTAGTGGGTGGTTCTCATGGTCAGGTAAAGTTCTACCTGCATATCACTGCCATTTGTAGGTGGTCCTGTCATGGTACACTGACACATTTCAGTGAAGTTCTGAAGATAGGTTACATAAAAGGAAAAGCTCGTTCAATGCAGACTAGATTTCACAGCTTCTGTGAGGCTATGAGTCTCTACCTCTCCCTTAAAGCTTTCCTCTGCTTCATATCCCTCTTTTGATATATTTTCATTGTTTAGGCTTTCAGGTTTTCAGTCCTGATCGCGAAGAAGAACACACATAGTCAAAGTCAAATGACTGAAGTCTTTCTTATGGTTAATCACCATATAGACATTTACAGACTTAGTGCCACTGAAGATCATTTTGTATCTGTTTTTTTTTGTTGTTGTTGTTGTTGTTGTTGTTTTTTGTGAAGGCCTACAAAAATGTATGGAAAAAAATGAACGCATTGATAAAACTTCTGACAATGAGACACTGACAAATATACATGGTTTGCAGTCTCTCAGGTTGTGATACTGGCAAGTTGTCTAAGCACTACAGTTGGTACAACTTTCCTGAAACCTGTTGAAGACTTTCAGTGTAAGAAAAGGATGAAAATCTTAGATAAGCTTTGGCTCACTAACAGTAGTTGGCCAGCTGTGTTAGCCTTCAGCTTTGAAAAAGCATAGAATACAGAAACTTGAGGTACAGACAGAGGGCTGCCACAAATCAGTCACTGATGCCTTAGTGGTCTGACTTTTAGATCACTGAATTTTGCAGTTGAAAGAATAGCCCCAGGAGTAGATAGATAACTGCTGAAGCTGACATTCTGCAAAGTAAGTCCTCCTTATTGGTATTCCTGTTGGCATACACGGCTCCCCCAGCTCATCCAGCAACTCATATGCCCTAAGACCTCAGAAATTCTTCTGTGAGATAATATTACAGAATCGTATGTGCCAGTGTAATTTACTGTTTGCTGACAGAGCAACTGCATCACAGCTTGGATGTATGACTGATTCCCTAGTCATACAAGTACCAAGTAGTGCTTGTTTTTTCAAGGAAACAAATATTTCATCAGTCTGCAGATGTTTCTTCATCAGAAAATATGTAGAGACAAGTTCTGTAGGTATGCAGATACCTTAGCCACAGAAATCATGATGTCTAAGGTAACTCTAGAGATTCTGAGTAGAAAGAGCACTTAGCATCTAGAAATAACAAATGATGATGATAATTCCTTTCAGTTTTTCTGTTATCTTCTACGCCTTTATTTCCCGTTATATTTTCTCTCCTTTCAACTATTAGGATTATAATTTGATTTTTATTCATTGTCCACTGATTGAAATCATGTTGATATTTAAAAAACATGATTCCACATACTTGTCCCCACCGTGGTTTTTAGGAAATGTATAAGAAATTACAGGCAGCTGAGTGGCATTTCAGAAAACCCTTTTAACCTCTCTTTATTTTGGAGAATTTGTTATTCTACAAGATTTTCAAAACAACTGTAAGTGGCAGAGAGGTGAGGTACAGAGCTTCAGAGTAATCCACTGTAATATAGGAAGTGTGTAGCAGTGGTGAAAATATGGAAGCCTGATCAGAGAAAAAAGATAAGGATGGAAAATTAATACTGTGCAATAAATTTGCACCAAATTAAGCTTTTTTTGTTTTGTTTTGTTTTGTTTTCAAGAATGGCAAAATATGGAAAAGTAACAACCAAGTTATCCTTCCATAATTTCTGAGCTCTTTGCCTTTTAAAATTATTCAGTGAACTACACTAACTAAAAAAAGGGAAGCACATAATACACTTTCCAGAAGATCTTATCCTAATTTAGCACTCAGATTACAGGTAAAACTCAAAGACATAAATCACTTTGCAGTTAATGACAAGGATCATCCTAAATTGTTTACAGATGTTCCTCTCCAAGACTAGTTTTAAGTCTATAAAGTATAATGTGAAAATTGTCACAGCTTTTCTGTAGTAACAAAATAAATTCATCAGACTTCTGAAACATCATACTGAATGAGAGATTGCTGGTGAGTTCTAAGATCAGTATTATAATTCAGCAAGGTGGAGTGAGACAGGAGAACACACAAGGCAGCAAACACGATGTCTTGACTTTGAGATGCATGCTTGTTCTTTTGCTGTTTATGCTTGTAACTAGACCCTCAACTCACCCTGTGTCTGTCTCTGTTCTCAAACCCTGGCTCAGAACAACTGAGATCTGATCATTGCCTCTTCCATCTAAGTCACAACTATCCTTAGTCTTATCCTATAGTTAATAAGTCCACTGAACTATCCTAAAGGTACAAGTCCATATCTACTCTGCCATTTGCTTTATACTAACCTAATCCTCCAAAAGCAACGGCTGTCCACAAAACACAGACCTCCTTTTGCAAATTTCTGTTCTATTTTTTCGTATGATTGCTATTGCAATGTATTCAACATCCAAAAATGTCAGTCAAATCTGGGTACTGCTTTATGAGACTTCTATTCTGACCTGCCAGAACTGTTTGTTCTGGACTGGGCATAAATAAAAGGTGTTAGAAATGAGTTAGCTCCCTGGCAAATAGTAGCTGTATGATAACAGAACTTGACTAAGGTCATGGTGGGGAAGTGGGGCTTTGCCTGTGTAGAACTGAAGGAGTGAAAATTAACTTCAGGCTCCTGCATTTGTAGAAAATTGAGAATTGCTCTTTGAACATCTGTGAACCGAAAGCATAAGCACATTATGTTTTTTGGATTTACAGCAGAGCTTGGGTGTGATTAGTGGGTATTTCTTCCATCACTGTGTTTTGAAGAGTAGCTGTGTTCCTTTGCAAAAGAAGAAATCTATCTTTCAGCCGTCCATCAAAAATACTCTGATCAAAACTACAAAAATGCTTCTTCCACAGGACCAGAGCTCAACATCATCCATAGCAATATGACAGCTACAGTAACAAAGGTGGGTTTATGGCATTAAGTCTTCCTTTAGCTTTCATGACATATTCATCCACTACCCAAAATCTTCTGCCATTTCCACTTCCTCTCTGAAGGGGACACAGTCTTAACCATATCTTTGTCTCCACCTTATTCCTGTTTATCTTATTCATCAAAACTTCATTCAAATGTCACGTCTACACTTCTTAGATGGAGACTGACTTCTTTATTCCAGATTTTTCTCCTCATATTAAAACATCACACAATCTTTCTGACATATTCTCATGTTTTTGCAAGGAATTCAAAAGGCAGCAAGGACAAGATTGTAATTCATTGCGTTCTTTTTCTAGTTATAAAGGCCCTTGTCTCTCTCCCTATGTGACCAGGGATTGTGCATTTGGTCCTTCATGTCACTTTGCAGTGTCCCCTGCATCAGCCTTGTCACTGTTCCAGAATTGTTCAGGTACCTTTAAGAGCTTAAGGAAGTTGAGGAGGGCAGGAAGGCAGCAGGCAAGGTTGTTGATTAGATAAAATCAGTGCACACTACCTGAACTCCTGTAATGTTTTAAATATATCACATTGCAGCAGCCATTGCTTTCTAAATGAAAGCTCATGTTCACACTGTATGGATTTTTATGAGATATAAGATCTCATTTTAATGGAGAATATTGCAGCTGAATATATATTTCAGTATAAATTGTAAAATCTAGTATTTTCCACTTAGCTATGTTTTACTTTAACTGACAATACCCAGAATTGTATGGGCTAGCTATCTTCCTTGAGCTACAGACGTTCTCTGGCTTGGTGACCTGCACTTAAAATTCTTCTTTTAATGTTTTATCTTTATTAATATTTAAGCAATAATCTCTATTAATATTGGTATTGCTGTTGAATATCTTTCAGTAAAGAGCATGCTCTGCTTTTTGTTGAAAAATCTAATTTGCTGAACGATTTCCACTGCAGCTGAGCTTTGTCTACAGTAGCAAAAGCATCATAAATGGCTAGTTGTCCTAGGTGCATTAAAAAAAAGAAAACAACCATGCAGAAGAAAAACTGTCTGGGAGAGGAGAGCAGGAAAATCTCTTTTTATTCTGGTTTTCATTATTTGTGTTGAAGAGAGTATGTACAATTTCTCTTTTCTTTAGCTATATGCTTGCAATTACTGGCCACATATTTCTTAATGTGTTCAAAGCTACGAGACTGACTGCCTGCTTATCACTCCAGCACCAGCTCCTTCCTGCTGTACCCCTGTGCTGAACCTTGACCTGTAGAGATTAGCTCAGTCTACAGAAAGGGGCAAGGGGAAATTTGGTCTTGCAGCCCTTTTGATCTAATCTTTTCTTCTCAGACCTTCAGGAGTATTACCAGAAAGTTTGGAGTCTGCTAGCAATTGAGTGACTTTTCTGCATATTATACTTGTATTTTCCTTTGATAAAACAATATTAAAATAATCCATTTTGGAGTGTGAAGCAATGAATTGTAACTGAAGATATGGTGCAAGAAGATAATTAACTATTTTTGATGTTAAAACATTTGTTGAAGTGATGATAAAAATAGAAGAGCATTACTGCCCACTCTGAGTGTATGCAATCAAAAGGCACCTGCATGACTCTGGATTTTAAATTGAACATGGAATCAAATAATAATGCAACAAAACTGCTTGAAAAGAATTGTGCAGATCATTAAAAGATCTTTTGTTTCTCCAACCTCCTTCTAATATTACCTTCTATTCAGACATGGGTTATTCCTTTCTGGCTACCATTTGATCTTTGCATACGGACAAAGAAAGGATTACACTTATCACAGCAGGTAGCTTTGAGGTAGTGCTTTTATCCAAAGCCAAACAAAACTATAGCAGTAGTACAAAAGTAAATTAATTACAGAATAGGTACAGTACTTTTTGTATTCCAAGAAAGCACAAAATACTTCCAACCACATCTGTACTGTAGTGCTTATTTATGTCTTCTGTTGATCCTCAAGCTCCTCCTAAAACTGACAGTGCTCTCCGACCTGAACATCTGCACATACGTTGACCTTCGCACCTACATCTGTTCAACCATTCTCACCTAATTATTCACCACATTCTGTTCTTTATGTTTGAAAGTCACAAAGCATCAAACATCATTTTGGCCAAATGCCCTTTTAAAATCCAGGTTGTGAGCTGATTATCTCTTTTTGACCTTGATAAAATCCCTACAGCAGTGAGTCTCGACCCCAGCTGTTGAAGTTGCTTAAGCAGCTTCTCATGTGTCATAAACAGACAACAGTTTTTATTACATATATTAATCTACATTGCATTGTTTAGCCATATACCAGAAAAATACACATAGGAGATATTTGAACCTTTAAATATTTGCTAATTAATTACAATCTGCACGTACCACATTGTGCTCTGAATTCAAACATCTACTCTGTTCTAGAAGTTCTGGAAATCATGTATTTTTAGTTTGTATTTTCACCCACCTAAGCAAAAGCCACACTGTGCCAGTATTCATGTGCTTCCCATACTCAGGTATTCAGTTTGCTGTCAGGACAAACATATGTTTTCTCATTATCTAAGTGTGGGAGATGAACCTTTCATCAGACAGATTTTCTTTTAATGAGACTCTGAATCAGGTGACACGACAAACCTGATGTTAGAATTTCTCTCCTCAAATAAATATTCACATTTCACCTTAGCTACAACATTGGACAGCAACTATATGTGAATAAATGTTACAATAACCCATTATTTCTGCAGAGGCTATTTGAAGTATATCATGTACAAAACACCAGCATAGAGGGTTTCATGTGCTTTGTTTTATGGAAACGTTTATGTTGCTCACTGAACTGTGATCTTTAAAAGAGCTCAACTTTGATAGCTTTATATCCTGTCAGATTTTCATCACGAACACTACTAAGCAAGGATCCCATTACTGTTCAAATATCTGTGTTAATGAATTATAAGCAACACAGGATGATGTGTCTGTCCCATCACTTTTTACTTCTTTTCTTCAAAACTCAATCTTCCTTTTTTTTGGATCCCATTTGCAATCCCAAAGTCTTCAGTTAGGAAAAGGAGCTCAAAAAGGAAGCATCAGTGTTACACTCCCTCAGGTTCACACTTGCATTTACAACATTTATTAATGCAATTTTTTTTTGCAAAGTGTAAATTTCTCAAATGCAACTGAATCTTAATGAGCTATATTTTGCCCCAGAGAATCAGAAAATCAGAGATGAAGTCTGGACTCCCTTTGGTATTAGAAAAGATTTGTGATGACTATTCAGTGGTCTTTCATTCACTTGCCTCTCAAGACTGGAGGAGGGGGATCTCCATAGAACCTCTTTGACCTCTTTTACACTATCTGAACTTCAGTAAGGCCTTTGATGTAGTACCCCACAACATTCTTCTCTCCAAATTGGAAAGATATGGATTTGATGCATGGACTGTTCAATGGACAAAGAGCTGGCTGCAGGAGAGTTCAGAGAGTGGAGGTCAATGGCTTGGTGTCTGGATGGAGATTGGTGATGAGTGGTATTCACCAGGGGTCAGTACTAGGATTTATACTCTTTAATACCTTCATCAGTGACAGTGGCAGTGGGGTCGAGTGCACTCTCAGCAAGTTTGCTGATGACAAGCTGTGACACATCAGAAGGATGAAATGCCATTCGGAGGGTCTTAGCATGAGCAGTGGGCCGAGGTGAACTTCATGAGGTTCAACAAAACCAAATACATAAGATTTTGTACCTGGGTTGAGGCAACCCTCACTACCAGTACAAGCTGGGGGACTGAGCACAGCCCTGCTGAAAAGGATTAGGGGGTACTGGTGGATGAGAAGCTGGACATGAGCTGGCAGTGTGCTTTTGAAGCTCAGAAAGCCAAATGTATCCTGGCTTGCATCACAATAAGTTTGGCCAGCAGGTCAAGGGAGATGATCCTGCCTCCAGAGGAGAGCCACAAAAATGATCCAGGGACGGAACACCTTCCCTACGAGAACAAACTGAGAGAGATGGGGCTCTTCAGCCTGGAGAATAGAAGGCCGTGAGGTGACCTTATAGTGGCATTTCAATATCTATAGGGGATCTACAGGAAAGAAGGGGGCAGATTTATGGCTTGTGAAGGTTGCCGCTTCTCAATGATCAAAATCTGCTTCTCTGATTCATCATGAATTTTCATTTTCATCATGAAAAGAGCTCGATCCTCTTTATCATTAAAAATCTACATCTAAGATGCTTTTGGCTATACTGCTAGAAACTAGCACTTCAGGACTCAGGCATGGCTTTCCCTGTTGCCTAACTTCCAAAAGAAGGAAGCTGGATCATGGAACATACATTTTCAGGGTTTAGTAAAATAGAAATTAGCACATCCAGCCACAACTGATGCATTTTCTTTGCAATTTCCAAAGGTGGCTTTGCATTTTCACTCTGAGTTTAGTGATCTTCAGTGAGATTCCAGCAGGTCTTCTCTAAGAAGTCTGTCTTCAATAAGTTTCAATCAGCAAAATAACACTTTTTGCCAGGAGAATACTTTCTAGAATAATTTAATAGTCATTGCTATGGTTGCATCCTTGTCTCATTAAGCTGCAAATTTCAATATTCTACAGAGTTATAGTAGACTAAGATATTAATTTAGACTAGACTAGACTAGAATAGTTCAGTTGGAAGGGACCTACAAAGATCATCTACTCCAATTGCCTGACCCCTTCAGGGTTAACAGAAGTAAAAGCATGTTAACCATTGTCCAAGTGGCTTGAACACTTACAACCTTGGGGCATCAACCACATGTCTAGGAAGCCTATTCCAAGGTTTGACCATCCACACTGAAAATTTTACCTAATATCCAGTCTGAACCCCCCCTGACACACTTCTGTGCTCTTCCCACATCTCCTACCATTCTCTCCCAGAAGCAGAGCCTGGCACCTCTTTCTATGCTTCTCCTCCTCATAAGGCTGCAGAGAGCAATGAGGTTACTTAGGCTCCTTTTCTCCAGACTGGACATTGCAAGAGTCTGAATTAATTTACTAATTCCTTGCTCTATCACTCCTTGCACTAAATTGCATGCACTTTGGATATGATTAGTAAGCAAAGTAATTTCAAGTGTAAACACTCCAGCCTTCGAGAGAACTGAACCAACCAGTGTCAGCCAGGGAAGGGAGGAGACTTGAGAGTAAATGATAAGGAGTGAAAAGCCAGTCAGAACAAGGGTTTGGGTTAAAACACAAGTCCAAATACAAATGATAACTTAGGAAAAACAAACACAGCTAGTTTGAAAACATTACTGCAAGAGTGGATCACCTTCTAGCCTTCCTATCCCTTGTCTAAGCTGTGTGGTTTTTTCCCTAATGGAATATTAATTTTGTTTTGTTGCAATTAGTAAAAACTGTCATCATTTAAACAGCAAACATGTAAGATAACTCTCAGAAAGACTTGCTTTAGGCCTAGGGATTACAGCAATAAACTCACACAGATATTCTTAATGGTGGCTGTAACCTATCCACAAGATTTTAAAGAAAATATTAACAGGCAATACATGCTTACTATTAACCATGTGTATTCTTGCAGGTACAGCCTGAAAGACACTTGAAACACTGGCTTTGTTTCCTTAATTCATAATTCAAGAGCCTTGTTACTTGTGTGCTGCCCTAGCAGCAGAGCTGGCCAGGGCTGTGCTTGCTCCCTGGTTCCCTGGCATGACTTCTCCTGAAAGCAGGCAGCAGTGCCCAGCCAACCCAGTAGTGCCAGAGAACAAATACATACAATGAGATTCCATGCACCCTTTTTTTTCCTTTCTTCTTTCAGCCTAATGCGAGCATACCAAATGGTCTCATAGCAGTGATTACTCCTTTTTTTTTTTCTTCTCATTTAAAATAATTATGCTCTAATCTATGGAGTTATTAGATATAGACACTAGTTAAATAGTATGTTCATGCCTTCTGGCCACAATATGCCTATAGTGACCCCTCATCATAGAGCAGAGCGCTGTAAACGCTAATTTTTAACACTAAATCCTTTGAACAATACCTGGCCTACATCATTCTCAACAGCATCCCATGAAATTATCTGCCTTGAAGATTGCAATAGTGCAAGAGAGTCATTACAGTTAGTTTAAATCAGTTCAATCGATGAACATGTAGTTTCACTGGGAGAAGTGGATATCAGTCTAAGACATGAAGTCTTTGAAGAAATCTTCAACTGTTTCTGTAGTTTGTGTTCAGTAAGCATTAATTTTGTCACTGAGAACATTAATACTCACCAGTAGCCTTGGAATATTAAAATTGAGATTGTTTTCCATGCTTCACCTCTATTGTAGAATATACCGTCTTGAAAATTGCAGTCTAGAGGATATTAAACAGAATTTTGCGACATTTTAGACAACTTTATATATTTAGTTGGCAGACAGGTATGAATGATGCTGAAAACCTGCTGTACATCCAGAGCTTAAATCCCACTGACAATTTTTGTTGTACTTATGAAAAAGCAGAAGGTGGTACAGCTCAATATTGGGTTCTGTTGTTAAAAATAAAGATCAGTCAAAAGAATCAGAGGGAGAAAGGGAGGGAGAAAGGAAGGAAGGAGTGCACAGTAGATCAGAATAGAGTAATTTCTGAGTTTAGGCTTCCTATTGGCAAATCATTAAAAAGGATTAAAAATATTTCCATGATAGAAA